GTCTGCGTTTTACACGGAAACGATTCCGGGCGGAATCGACGGATCGACGCGGCCAATTTCGAGAGAAAGCTCGCTCGATCCTCCGCGACATTTCGCCGATGCGAAGGCGTATATATATATATATTATAATTTTGCTGTGTCTTTCGAGAGAGAGGATACGATGGAAAGGAGAAACAAGTCGCTTGGATAGATTATCGCGATGAAATTTTCGCTCCAAGAAATTATTTTCAAATATTCGTTGCTCGCTTTTTGCAACGAAAGTTATAGGAAATTTTGTATTAGAAATTTCAAATAGAAGTTACATTTTAATTAGAATAGAGAATACGAATTATCGGTATTTTATTTCACGATACTTTACGCGTGAAGCGTAACAATTTGTGCCCAATTTCATCCCAATTGTAATCTCTGCTCGTGAACACCTTTCATACCTTAAATTTACCCGAACGATTATTAGAATCAAGAGGGGAGATATATATACTCCGCTTCGTAAGGCTCGAACGGTTAGCTTGGTAGCAGCCACGGCTTTCTTTATTCTCGCTCACCGGTTCATCGAAATAATTTTAAACCTTCCCAAGGATCGTTACACTTTCGCCTCGCTCCTTTCCACGAGATTAGATTCGCCGTATTCGCCTTATAAGCATAAATTGGTTTCGATAACGTGGGGTTGAATGCGTCGTGGAGAGAGAGAGAGAGAGAGAGATTAAAAGTTTCTACGCAGGCCCGGGTCACGAGATAATGAAGCCGGGCCGTGTATGATTATTAGAATCAACCGTGTCTGTCGCGCCTACGACTTGTTCATTTTTTTTTCTTCTTTTTCCTTGGAAGAGAGAGAGGCTCTTTTGAGGTTACGCCGAGGCAGGTGGGGAACGGGCGCGATACCGATATCATAGTTTTATTCCTTCCACGAGCGGGGAAAAAATGTAATTGGCCCGGCCGAATTCTATCGCTAGAGGATGGAGGGTACGTAGAGGGGGAGAGGGTATCGGGAGGGATGCACGAAGGGGGATGAACGAAGGAGAAAAAAGCGCGTGTGCGAACGGGCGACCGTTCGTAATAACAATGATTAGGAACGGACCATGGAGGGAAAAAAAAAAAAAAAAAAAAAAAGGTAGAAGAGGATCGAGTCTTGTCTCGGCTCCATCTCAAAATGGCGGCTGATGGATCGAGCCACGTGCAACCATCCTCCTATAAGATATTCGAATTTCGTCACGTGAAAAGATTCCATCTGGTGAGTTACGATTCTAGATACGATTCGTGGAAATATGACTGAATCTGTCCAAATGGTTGGAAACGATCGATTTTCGTATCGGTGTGGTCGGAAAAAAACAGGATCCGCGTGATTCGTCGTGCAACTCGTCTCCTTATCTTCGTATCCCGGCGTAGGTTAAATCGAGGGTTAACTCATCGTCGTCGTCGACGTCGCCGTTTTCTACGTTCACGTTTTTGCGATGCGCATACGGCCCGAGGAAGGAGTTGGTAAGAGGAGAAAGAAGCGGAGGTGAAGGAGGAAGAGGGTCCAGCATTGTTCGCGGACATTGTAAGCATGTCCGGAACAAAGAGCGGTAATCGACCCGTGTAACATTTATAACGTAATGGGAGGGCCTCACCGGCCCATAATAATATCAATTACGGGGCAACGGGAGAAAGTAACAGAGAGAAAGAGAGAGAGAGAGAGAGAGAGCGTATGCGATGAAAGAGAGACGAGAGAGGGGAGGAAGGGCGAGGCAGAGGGTTTAGATCGGGAAGAGCACATTGGCGACGCGGATTCGCGAATCTGTCGGCCAGAAAATTGACCAACGAACCCTCTTCAGCCAGCCAGCCAGCTGTCTTGGGATGGAAAGAAGGCGTCGTGACGCCCTCGTTAAATCAAGTTGAAGGGATCGACGAAAATCGTGTGTACATTCGAAGGGATGATTTCTCGATTAGATTTAGAAATCTCATAATTGTCTGACAATCATTTCTTCGTCTATTAACTTGTTTTAAGTTTACTGAATTTCAAATAACAGTATACACTGCAATTTCTGAAGAATTATATTCTACAATTCTCCATTCTTCATTTCCTCCATTTATTTTTATTTGTTATTTTTTATTTATTTTTTTTTTTTCGAATTTATCTAAAATTTCCATAGAAATTTCGTTTTCGAGGCGTCGAAGGGAAACGAAGACGAGACTCTGGAACGAGTCGAATCGATACTGTGCGTAAGTGAATCGCAATTGTCGTTTGGAGGTACCGAAACGGTGCCGGGGCAAGGTCAAGAAGGTATCGAGGAGGGCCTGAGACCCTTCGTTTTTTTAATTTCGCTCTCTTCTCGCAAGGTTTTGTTTAATGGCGAAGGCGGTAACCGCGCACAGGCCAGCCGACCAATGAGAGGCCGACTGGAAATCATACGCGGGATCGCCGGCCGCACGGCGGCCTCCGAGAGTGGAGGTGAAGTTAGGTTAGGTGAGGTTATGTTCGCTCCCCGCGTCTCCTTAACATTCGACGGGCCTGTCCCGGCACGGCATCGCTCTCGCAAGAGGTGGGGCTCCGTCTCTTCGATCGGCGTTAGGCATTTCTTCTTCTTCTTCTTCTTCTTCTTCTTCTACCTCTATTTTTTTCCCTACCTACACTTTTTCTCCTCCTTCTATTTCTTCTTCTTCTTCTTCTTCTACTTTCGTCGCTCCGTCATCGCCTCCTTTGCCCTTCCAATGCTCCTTGACGAAGGCCTGTTCACTATACTTAGCATTGCCTTCGTTTTAGGACCACGTGAAACGCCGAGATAAAACCGCTATCGTGAATGCAAGTGGGGGCGGCGTGGCTGGTTATCGAGCCTATATATCTTCAAGACCATTTCGTAGTAGTATATTCATTGGATTATCGAAACACTCGTTCCACTCTGTTATATTCCACTTTTGTCCTTTGAACCTTCTAATTCTTACGATTTGAACTACGATGCCAATTATTCTTCGATCCGATTACCCGATTCGAACCTTTGAGAATGGAAAAAACGATCCAATTCCTGAGAGTTCGTTTTAAATTGGAACATTTTCTCGGATAAACTCGGTGTAAGGTAGCCACGACGATTTCGAGGCTCGATCAGAACTGGGAATCGGTTAAAGGGGGAGGGAAACGGATAGAAAATGTTTCCATCGATGCCTCGTTACGGGTACGAGGCATTATCGCTTTGGATTGGGTTTTCACTTCGCAGCCTCTGCTGCTCCTGTCCTAATAATCGGGTTATCGGCCATCGATATGTCGAGAACTCTAATTACATTCTTCTGTGTTACTGCTTAAACCGTGCCAATCCCCTTCTCCTCTGTCAATACCGAACAAAGCGTTTCGCAATTCCTTTCGAGTACGAGAAATTACGGGTTACGTTGGAACACGTGGGAAGTGGAGGAGCTCCTCGAAGACGAAGAAACTCGTTGGTTCGTACGAGATAGATCCGACGATTGCACGTATTTATCGATGTTGAATTAATGGATCATTAATGTTTCAAACTTTCGGTGTAAATATGTTCCTTCCGTTTGAAATGAAAAATTTCGCAATTTCGATTCATCAAAGATGGCGAGATCTTTGATTTTTTTTTATAATTTTTTTCATTTCTTCTTCAAAAGAAGCGTATCGCAGGAAATTTTCAACGATGACTCTATATATAACGCTGATCCCAAATCTCGAATGCTAGATCCCAGAGCGACTTTGTAATAAAAAGAAAAAGCGAGGAGTAGAGTGTAGAGTGCCACTTACGCAATTTCATTTGTAATTCAATGTCCAATTATCAACATTCGTGAATCTCTGTCCAACTATAAATATAAAAAAAAAGGAAACAAAACGGAGGCCCGATAAACACAAGGGGCAGATTCCTCCCCTGCTTCTGTGATCGCGTGATTCTCTCGTTTACTCTCGGAACAACAATCACGTGACAATGCGTTTCTCGCGTGCCCCATCCCAAGTCCGATTAATCCGTGATCTTTACATGGACTGGTCGCATCGATACGATTAATTATTAATCAGATACAACGCTATTAAGTTTGTTAATCAACGTTTCTTTTTTTTCCTTTTCTTCCTTTTTTCCTTTTTTTTCTTTTCTATCGAAACGAAAGCGAGTTCCATTAAAAGGATTGATTCGAACGGGGGATGTTTCTTTTTTCCCTCCGAGGTTCTCATTCACGAACCTTTCCACGAACTAATAACGCAATATTGCTTATTATCAGACAGTGGGACGAGAGAGGCGTCCGCCGAGATGATCGACAACCGAGATAGAAAAAAGGAATCCATTGATGGAGCCCGCATACGAACTTGGTCGATTCCTTTTTGTGGCTATTGATCGATGGTGACCGTAATTTTCAGATCGCGTGCCGC